CATTCACTCATATAAGCAGAGACAGAGACACACCGAGCTGCAAACTCATAAAAATACCTCAATAAAAAAATGTCATCCTCACTGTGTACACTATATTTGTACTGTAGATAAGAAAAGCTAGAAAAACACATCCATTAATTTCAGGTGATTGATTTCATAACTAGAGAGAGTGTTGTGTTCTTTGCAGCTGTGTGCTGGGGCAGAGGGTGAAGACAGCCGATGCCAACAGGCTGAACAAACTGATTAAAAAGGCTGGTTCTGTCCTGGGTGTCAGACTGGACCTGGAGGAGGTGTCTGAGAGGAGAATGCTAAAAAAGCTTCTTTGTATCATGGATAACCACTCTCAGCACATGCACGCCTCCATGATGCACCATCGGAGCACACGCAGCAAAAGAATCATTGCCCCGAAATGCAGAACTGACCGGCACAGGAAATCCTTTGTACTACAGGCGTAAGTGCAACAGGCCTGTAGTCATTTGGGCTGTCCACAGCCGTCTTCTTAGCGATGGGGATGATGATTGAGGTTTTGAGGCAGGGTGGGACGGTGTTTAATGACAAGGAAAGGTTGAAGATTTTAGTGAAGACTCCGGTCAGTTCGTCAGCACATGCTCTGAGAACCTTTCCATGTATTCCATCAGGAATACATGGAAAGGTTCATACACAACTCCTCCTCACTCTGTAGGTGATTTTCCTGAGGATTAATAACAAAGCTATTCTGTTCCCATTCAGACCGTACAATATCACCAACAGTTTTTCATTGAATGTTTGTTTCATCTCCCATCATATGCTGCTACTCTTTTATCCATTTGCACAATACTGTCACTTTTAGAATCACCTGCACTGATAGCTAAGCTAAGCTATTTATTTTTCAGGATACAGTTATATTGTTACTCGTTACAGTTATTTGATCTTATAATTTGCACTATCCTACTGTATATTACTTTATACTTGTATTCTATTGTACATATTGTATATCTTATTACTCTGCTCCTCTGTCTCTCTTGCTGCACTGAGCATGTGCATGACAAAAGAATTTCAGGTGATCGATTTCGTAACAGTTTTCATAACAGATTCGTTTTTTCTTTTCTTTTCTTTTTTTTAAAAGAAAATTCTTGCTGATGCTTCTGGTGTGAATATCTGATAAACAACACAGGGCAGGTTTGCTATAACCAAAGCTCAGCACTCACAGTAAACATCATGTCACTGTTATGAGATATACAACATTCACAGCAGTATAAGTTTAAAAAAGGTTTCTTCATGTTTCAGAAGTCGCTCAGCAGAGGAGGATTCGAGTCAACATGCATGAAGTGGACTGTTACAACTGATCAGAATTAGTCCATCAAAATTAATACATGTCAACTTTTTATAAAGAAGGAAAACACATTTAGTTTTAAATTGACTAAAAATAAAGTCAAATTCTATTTCAGCTTCTAGCTTTGTTCTACTGTGTGTAGAAAAAGTAAAGCAAACCTGATGACAGGAACTTTAAAAAAAAAC